GCATGCATAGCATGCCAGACACTTTTATAAATATTTTACATAGATTAAATCATTTAATCTTCACAGCCACACTATGAAAAAGATGTAATTGTAATCCACATACTGCAGAAGGAAAAACTGCAGAACAGAAGTGTAAAGTAATATGCCCAAGGTCACCTAGTTAACAATCAGTAGAGTTGGATTGTGCATCCAGGAAGTATGGCTCTAGTGTCTATGTTCTTAATCACCATACCCTACTACCTTCCACAAAACATACTTGCACAATCACATGAATATACACAGAGAACATGTGTATGTCCATAACTATAAAGGTATCAGGGAAAACCCCATATAACCTTAAAAATTCAATCACATGTACTTGTGATCACTTCTAGAAATAGACACATACTCATATAGGCAAAGATATATTTAATCAATATCATTCATAATGATGATAATAATGATGGTAGATACCATTTATTAAGAAATTACTACATACTAAACACCATGTTCAATGGTTTATATAAATTATTTCACTAAATTCTCATCTTCAGCACATGAAATTGGGAAAATTCATTAAAAATCAAAGATATTTACAGATTTACATATAAATAGGAAATCCTCAGATATTTACCTTGGCTAGGCCTAGATATTGACCTTAATCAATAAACAAAACTATGGAATTTCCTACAAAATTACAGGCCCCTTTACACACAGTAGTGGTGCAAGTGTTAAATCTTCAATCTCCACATGACATTTGTCAGAAAGCCCTTGATTTAGGGGAAAACCCATTCTTGGGTTACTATTTTCAAAAACTGGATGTTACACTGACCACTTGTGTAGACTTGGGTAATACTTAACTATTCTGAACTTGTTTTCTGAATAATAATATCATTCTTGAAGTAATACATTAGAAAACATATATGAAAGGGACACAACATATGTTATGTTTAGAACATAACAGACAGTAACTGCTCATGACTTCTTCCTCCTCCATCCTGGCTACTGTCTCCCACATATACTACATTCTACATTTCTGTCCTAAGGGCTAACTTAAATCTTAACTGTCCCAGAAGGTCCCCTCTAGCCTTTTCATACCATTGTCTTCCAAAGGAATACTTATTCTGTATAATACCTAATTTCATTAAGTCATACTTTGTATTATTTTTACCTTTCTGCCACATGAACTATATTTTCCAGATTGAACTATAAACTCCTTGAGGGTGGATGTCATTTCTGAGAAGACATGGTTATGGGGGCCTTGTAGATGTACCATAAACAAGTACTTCTAAAGTGACATGCAGTGACACAAACATGCATTTTCCCACCAATTGGTTCTGGTTCAAGTTTGCCACTGGTTCACAGAGTAACTTTAGGGATATTATTTTGTCTTGGTGAGTCTCAATTTCCCTATATATAAAATAATAGACAATATAGTTCTTACCTTTGTGGGGTCATGGATGTTTGAGAACATAATGAAATGCAAAAACGTGGAACCACAAAAATATTTTATATAAAGCGTTTTCCAAGAGTCTTTCTAGTTCTCATACTCTGTCAGTACTCTCACTCACTAATGAAACACAGGTTCACATGCACTTACTTATAGTACCACATATGGTCAAACAAATAGCCATGCCTTGGAACCTTCAATATGAAGGGAATATCCTTGGTTGAATGTAAGTCTGAATACAACATGGACCTCCTTCAAATTTCTTTCTCAGGGACATGCCAGCAAGGCTGTTGTACCTTAAACTTGCTTACCTAAGTAGAAATCTATCCCAGGTAAGAATTTCACAATTGGAGATACACATGGTAAACTTGAAAATATTCCCAGAAGAGACTGGTACATATCTTCAGCATACAATGAATAAGAAATCAAAGGTGGTGACTAATGACCAAAAGAGCTAGACAATAGAACCTGGAAAAAAGTGCTACCTAGCATTTGCCTACTACATTCCACTTTACAGTATGCTTTTCATATCTTCCATCTTATTTAATTCCAAAATTTTTGAGAGATAAGGATTGTATTCCCCATTTGGCATCCAGGGTACAGGCTTTGGGATCAGACTACTTAAACAAATCTTGACTCCATTTTTCCTAGCTGTGTGACTTGATAAACTGCTTCACTTCTCTAGTCATAGTATTTTAATTTTTGAAATAAAATTAATGCTATTAGTTATACCTCAAGTAGTGTGAGGATTAAATGTATTAAGATCTGTAGGTGCATAGAACACAAACATGTGGTCAAGTGTACAAGTAATTGATCAAAACGTATTAGTGGTTATTATTATTACAGATGAGGAAATAGGTTTAGAAATGAAATTTACTAGCATGCCAAAACTTTAACATTTTATGGATAGCCACAACACATACATACTCAAAAGTTCTCATACACATTAATACATACTAAGCATACAGGCACATATATATGGCTGAGATTACTTTCTTTGGAAGAAATATGATATAATGAAAGGAAACAGAACTTTTGAGTCATATTAACTTAATTTGGAGTACTGTTTTCAGTTGTGTTTGAAAGGGAGACTTAATAGGCACCTGATATATATGAGGAGACACCTGGTAAATATTAGCTTTCTTTCTTTCTAGTCACTGGCTTTTTTATTCCCAAACTCTATTTGTTGTTGCTGTTTTTAAATTTTGATTTTATCATATATTATCAAAACAGAAGAAAGAGAAAAAAATATAAAATTATTTTGTAATCATTTATATATCTCATGATAAGATTGAAAGTTTTCAGATCTTAGAAAAATAGATTCTAGTTCTGGATGCATCATTTATCAGTTGTATGGCATTGAGCAAGTCACCTAATTTCCTGAGCCTTAGTTTCCTCATTTTGTTACTAAAAATAATCTCTGCTTTGGTCTCCTCAGTAGTTTATTATGAACATCAAATGAAAAGAAGGATGAGAAAGTCTTATGTAAATTTTTCACTTGGGCAGGGCTACTTTCTCTAAGCTGAGCCCACAAGAGGAAGTCTTAGAGAAAGGCCAGACAGAGGACAAAAAATAAAAAGGAAAGGTAAAAGGACAAATGAAATAGATAAAATAAGCAAGAATCCTATGACAAAGTAAAAACAGAGAGGGCAGAAGAAAGGGGGAGATGTAGGGAGGAAGGGATGGAGGGGGGAGAGAGATAGAGGGAGAGAGAGAGAGAGAAAGAAAGAGTCCTGCACACCCCCTATTGGGGATTGAGTTCACAACCTGGGCATGTGCCCTTTACCAGAATTGAGCCTGGGTATGAAGGAAGGTCCACTTTACTTGGAATTAGACATAGTATAGTTAATATACATGAGATTAGGAGATTAGCCCTGGGAGAAGGTAAGCTAACAACAATTCAAGCCTCCCCTACCTTTACCTTACCTTCCTGTCATTCAAACATCACCTGGACCTGGTCACCATCATCCATGACAATTTGCATCACCGTTTTCCCTATAATTTGCAAGTTATCCCTTTAATGTGATAATGCTCTTTTCTCTCCTTTCATCTCCCTTTCTGAGTTGGGTTAGACTGAGATGGGCAGGCTCATACTAAACAAAGAATCACTCAACTGAACACTGGAATGCTGAGCTATCTTTTGTGTCCTGTCTCTAATCTCAACATAATAAAACCCTCC